CAGCCGCCAGCCCAGTGCGAGCCGGGGACTTGCAGCAATGGGGTGAGCACCGAGTGGGACCCTTGGGCACCAGCACAGCTCTAATGTGCTGAGACACGAGGGCTGAGCCTCCTCTTCCTCCCAGCCCCACCGCACTCACGCTTTGTCTGTCCCGCCACCGAGCTGCTGCTGCTCCTCGACCCGGGCTGGGGGCTCGGGATGCTTTTGCCTCCTGCTCCCACGTGGGTTCGTCTGGCCTTGACTGGAATGCGGTTAATGAGGGGGGGGATCTTCTGGTACTCGTACACCCTGCGAGGGCACAAGAGCACGGCGGCAGCAGCTCAACCTCGGAGGGGCAGCGGCAGCCCGGGCCAACCGGGTTCCTCTCGGACCTCTCGGGTCCCCTCCATGGCGAAGGACCCCCCGAGGTGGGCACTGCCCAGCCCCCCGGTGAGGCAGCTGTGCCCTGGCAGGGGTTTGCCCCAGAGGCAAACAAGGGTGTTGGGGGGGACGGAGAGAGCCCCCGGCACAGCATCAGCCCTCGGGGAGCTGTGTTTAGAGCGCCCTGATGTTAAATTTCACGGTCCCTGGCTCTGCGCGCACGCTGCTGGCTCACTCGGCTCCAAATTAAGAAGCGATCTGTCAGCGGATCGCCTCCAATGCAGGCAGCCGACGTGCCGGTAATAAATCATGTGCCGTGGACTGGGAGCAGGGGGGAGGAGGAGGAGGAGGAGGAAAGATGCTGAAGTGCGTTTTGCTGCTTCAGCTCTTGCGGAGTCGGGGAGCGTAGGATGAAGTGTAACCCAAGGGGGGGACAAAGCTGTGCTCAGAGCATCGCTGGGAGTGGGGAGCCTTCCCCAGCCACGCTCTGGGAATGAGGGGGCTGAGCACAAGGTCCCCCCGGGCTCCAAATTTTGCTGCAGACGAGCCTGTCGCCGCGGGAGCGATGCTGGGGGGATGTTTTGGGAGCTTTCGGTCCACCCTCGCTGCCTTCCAAGTTTCCAGGGAGGGTGAGACCTTTGCATCCCCACATCCCGCCCGTCACCCAGGGAGGAAGGTCACAACGTGCCT